ACCTTGTGAACAAGTATGCATATCTGATGAGTGGTGAGTGAAATGGGCTATTTGGAATAAATCTGACCTTTCTAGAAATTGTGTGAGTTTGTGCCAATCATTTATGGTATACTCTCAAAGGGAGAAGAGCTTCATTAAAAAATAAAAAAGTTTGAGGATTAACTCCACTTTGGTTTTAGCTCTTGCTATCAAAGGTTTTATTAGTATGTTGAGGTTTTGGTTTTTTGAGGGTTTTGTTCTAGCCTGTATTCTTCATTCTCTACCTAAGGGGAAGGAAAAAACCACTTTTCAAAATCCTTTGATCTGGTAACACAGGGCATTTTCATTTTATTTATGGCAAGCCGTTCCTTCAAATTGAAGCGGTTGCCTGAGCTGGGAGGTGGAACGACTCTTTGGCAAGTATAAGGACCAATAAATCAGTATAGCTGCCATTATACTGGTGTTAATAAAATGAGATACTCTGTGGGCTCCTGAAAACAAGTATATAAAGCTAAATTTGTATCAGTGAATCAGCCTAGAAATGACTTGCCTGTAGAGCCTGATGACGTGTAGCATGCTTTAGGAGAGATCAAGCAAATGAAGGGAAACCTGTCACTTGTGTTGCTCATTTTTTAGATAGCTCTGGTTCGCTGACTTATTGAAAATGATTGTGGTTTGGATAAGCTGCTTCTGAAGGTGGTGTTTAAAAAAAAAAGGTCTCACAAATTGACCAACATTACTAATGTGATAAAAATTATCTTTAAAGCAACTCTTCTTCTGGGAAGACCTGTATGTTTTAGTTTCACTTGACCAATCTTTGCTGTATATGAAAACCTGTCTGGTGATAGACACAAGCTGTGCCAGCGTGAATTAGTGCAGCACTGCACAGCTAAGTACTGTTTGGTTTTGATTGCTCGTATGTGCCCTTAGCAAGTATCTATTTCAACATATCTATGCAAAAGAAGCTATGGCATAAACAGTAGCAAAAAGATGATGTTGATCTGTGAAGCAGGCTGATGGGTTTTGGTCTTTGTTTGTTACACAGCCTGGCTGATGGAAGCAATCTCCTCTTGACTTGTGGTGTAAAACATTCTCCAAATGAATTCCCTGTTGTACAGGTCTGTAAATATGTGTGTTTTCATAGGGGAGACTGTGCCCTTTGCCATATCCACAACAGAACTTACTTAAAGAAATAATTAAATTTGTGTTTAATTTAGAATCCTCATCTGTTAAAATATTTCACAGATTGTACTTTAGGGAGGTGGAAGAGAGAAATGTTATCCACGCCTCACAGGTGATGGCCAGGAAATCTTTGAATATTGGTCTCAGTTTTAGAGCCTGGTAGTCGGGCATCTTGCATGTTTGCAGGTGTGGCTTGCTTGTTAACAGAAGAGGAAATCTTTAATCGCTGTCCAAACAAGTGCATTTTTATGAGAACTCAGTTAAGAAGCCTAAGGGAGGCAGTGTGCCTGCACAAGCTGCTGCTTGGCATGGGAGGACCCTGGGAGATGGACGGAGGGGATGCGGTGGCACAGGGTCTCTGGTGGCAGAGCACCAGGCAGGGCTGGGGAGCAGGACCACGCGTTCTGGTTGTAGTTCACCTGTCTTAAATTTGCAGCTGTGTCAAACGATTCCAAGTATCCATAGCTTTCCTGTTACTGCTGACTACCAAAATGTCCTATATATTCTGCCTCTCTTGGTGCTTTCTCCTTTATCATATTAAGTAGCACCCAGAGCCTGGGGGGAGGGAGAGAAGAGGAGAAGGAGAAATGTTTGCCGTTGGTTTGCTGCGATCTCCATCGGGGAAGGAGCAGGGTACACAAAAGGGTTAGTTTGGTATCTTTTCCCCTTTTAGACTTCGTAGCGTGTCTACTAAATCTGCAGCTGTATTGGCTATGAATTGTGTAGCTTTTGATCTTTTATATGCAGTAGCTTTTTTTTTCCAGCAGAGCAGTTGTCATGCGGTCCCCGATTTACATGAACGCTAAACAGAATGACACAAAAATCAAGTGGTGTTGCTGTAACGAAACCTATTAATAGCTTTGCGGAGAGGCACTGACGCATCTCAGATAAAACACTTGGAATTAAAGCCTGAGGAGAACAGTCATCTTTGCAGACCAAGTTTTCCCAAAATGAGCAGTGAATTTAAGTGCTCAGTTAGAGGTGCTTTCAAAGGGCTGTGATTTTTGTTTTCAGATAAAGTTTCTCAAAATCAGGCTTGCTTGAGACATCTCAACTTGGGCTGACACAAACTGAGGGAAACATCTCTAATAACTGCTGGAAATTTTGGCCAAATGGCTGTATTCAAAACACTGCCAAGCAGTATCATAGTATACCTTCTATTTTCCTTGATAAATATTTGGTTTACTTGACAACTGTTGTTTCCAAGCAAAACATGGTTTTAGTATGTTTCTGAAATAAAACTCTGGCAGTGAAAGGTGGTTATGGATGGAAGCACAGAGGGGCTGGCTGGTGCTGCCTGGGAATCCCTGCGGCACTGCTGCACCCCAGTGCTGGTGCTTTTCGTGTGCATGGGTGCTGGCCTGCCTCCCGATGCATCTCCCTTTCTGGACCTCTGACGGATTGGGGCGCGTCGTGTCGTTTTAATGCTCGGCAGCACTGCCCTGACGCAGTGCAATGCTGGTGAATGGTGATGTCAAACTGCGCTGCTCCGAATCTCCGCAGGCAAGAACTGGTATCACCTGACTTCCAGTGGCGAGCGAGGCACTCTGAACTGCAGCTCAGCTTTTCGCTGATGAGAAGGGGAGCTAAGGTTTTTAATTCTGGGTTTTCCAAATTGCACCAACTTAAAATGCCTATCACAGACTGGAACAAGTCATCTTTCGGGTGTTGATCTGGTACAAGTGGGATAACCCTAAGTTAAGGTTATTAATTTGTTGATGCTATCATGTTGGGTGTATTGGGTGTGCGTGGCAAGGTTTTGGTAGCGGCGGGGGCTACAGTGGTGGCTTCTGTGAGAAGCTGCTGGAAGCTTCCCCAACAGAGCCAATGCCGGCTGGCTCCAAGATGGACCCACCGCTGGCCAAGGCTGAGCCCGAGCCCATCAGCGATGGTGGCAGCACCTCTGGGATAACATATTTAAGAAGGGGGAGTGGGTGGGGGGAACTGCGCAACAGCAGCTGCAGCTGGAGTGAGGAGTGAGAATATGCCAGGGGAACGACTCTGCAGACACCAAGGTCAGTGAAGAAGGAGAGGGAGAAGGTGTTCCAGGTGCCAGAGCAGAGATTCCCCTGCAGCCCGTGGTGCAGCCCACGGTGAGGCAGGCTGTGCCCCTGCAGCCCATGGAGGTCCATGTTGGA